ATGTCTGGACTTTGCACTAATATCAAAGCAAGGGGATTTCGGATCATTTGTTTCCCGTTTGAACATTTTGAGGGCAGCAGAGCCATTACTCTGGCTCCTAGTACAACATGTTTGAAGTCTGAAGGTGGAGTGGAGGTTGGCGTGGGCCCAGCAGGTGGGCAAGAAGACTGCTGAGAGCAGCGCAGAGGGGGAGAAAGGACGACGCCAGCCAGCAGGCCTGACGGATGACAGTGTCTGGGTAGGTGGCTGCTAACAACCAGCTAACGCACATAGGGCAGCACAGGGCGAGAGGGGGGGGGGGGGGGGGGGGGGGGCCTGACGTCTCTGCTCACCGTGGTACCCTCGTCCTACAAATGGGTTCAAACAACAAAACCCAAAGATGCATCACAACCACAGCAGCCCTATCTTTTCCATTTGTCCATTTGTTATTATAGAGGTTTCAGCGAGTGGGGTGAACCAGAGTTTACATAAACAAGAACACATACTGTTGGTGTGACTTTGCGTTGCTGTGCTGGTCATACATAAGCAAAGCTCTGTTTATTTTCACACAGGAAGCACAGATAGATGGAGACTATAGATAAATAGAGAACCAAGAGATACAAATGTGTAGTAATTGCTACGCCCAATAATTGGTAAAATCATTCTTGTTTGACATGATTACTAAAAACTCCTCAGAAACAAAACTCATTAACAAAGCCTTTTTTATCCTACAATCATTAGCTTCAATTAAAGACGGCTACATGCTATTAAGGGCACTTTATGTGTCCATTATTGCCAATTCTCCCCCACACCCACATAGACATATGTGGAATTCATCACAGCTACTAATGTGTCCTTCCGCCTGATTCCTAACACAAACATGGGCCGTAAACATAACGCGCAAAGCATCCCAAACTCAGATGCTCCAGGAATGCTAACATGCTGGTGTTAGATTTCCCAGCTATCACTGCTCCCTCCTGGGTTGAACCAGCTATGGTTTCTTTGAGTTCAGAGGTCACAGTTGATGAAATGTCACTGCCAGTCGTGCTGTTTGCCCAGCCCTAAGCTAACTAGGAATGATCTGAGGCTCTCTACTGTAAACGGGATAGAAAGTGTCTTGTTAGCGCTGTCTGCCTGCACGAGCAGCAGGCAGTGACAGTTTGCATGGCTCTGATAGCTACTATAAAACCCAGCTACAGACTGAGCCGGGTGTCATATTCCCGCTGTGTGCCTGTCATCTGCAAACACTCCATCCGAGGTCCTGCAGTGCACCTTCACACTCACTGAATTCTACATGCACAATAACAGAAGCTCCAGAGAAATGTTGTTTTCAAAAATAAAATAGGGACAGGATGTGCTTGTTTTTGTGCAGCGGATATTTCCTTCGGCTGACACCAGTCACACAACATGGGTCTGCCTGGGATGAGCCAGAAATTGTGGATGTAATGGGATAGAATGATCTGGAATCCTGCCTAAGCCTCTTAAAATACTGACCAAGTCATCACACTGATAGAAATGCTTTCCTCGCTAGCATTAAGAGAAAGGAATCACATGTTGGGGAGAAAATACATTCCAAGAGGATGTGAATATCTAAAGCGGATTTTTATCACCAAATATTGCAAAAGCCCCACACAGCAGACTCGACGAGTAAGACACTCGACCGCAATAGGTGGTCCAGGTCAATCCAAATGACAGCTCGATTTTCTTTGTAAAACTAAATAAGTACAGAAAGCCCCAGAATGGTCTTTGGGACTGATATGAATATGAAAAGACACCATTCCACGCTTTGTCAGTGGAACAAAGGACGTGGCTGTGGAGCTGGGAGACGAGTCCTCATCTGGCTAAGCTCTCAGAGCGTCTGTCCAGAACTCCATGCATTCCTCGGTTAATTTCCCCTCAGTGGGCCGGCACTTTCTCTGCCAGGGACCCGTCTTACCTCCGGTCTGACCGAAGCAGCTGTCCGTGTTTGGACAACCTTATCCAGGAAGTGCTAGAGAAGAACTTTTCCTGTAGACCACTGGGATCAAAACGGGTCATGGGGCCAAGCAAAAACTATGTTGGGGAGTAGCGCTGCATGATTATGAATAGATAACTAATTGCACTTTTTTGACATATATTGCATTGTGATTGGATTTGCAATATTAGAGGGAATGATCATTTTTAAAAGACATTATCATTGAAAAATAGATTGAAAATATCATGTTTATTTTTTTTAAAGACAAACAAGGATTTTGTATTAAGTCTGAAGCTCCAAAAATACTTCATTCAGAATGATATTTTCATGTTTGGAATTTGGTCCAACACTGTGATTCTGATCAAATTGCGATACATTGTGCAGCCTGAATGGAGATGAAAACACAGCAAACGCATGACCTGAAATAGGGCCTAATACAGATACCAGTATGGCCCAGATAATTCCAACAAAAACGTTCAACTCATCAACTTTACTTCTGCCTCAACGACACAGTGCCACTATAAAGGTTACACGGTGACCTTTCCACTCCAGGGAGCCCCGCCCAGATCATTTTGGTGATAATGGAGTCCCACGGAACAAATGTTTGGGGCGGCGGTGGTGTTAAACATGCCGGGGTCAGTGTCTATCCCATGGCAACCGCTGGGATGCAGCCTCTTGGGAAAGTAGACATTCCTCAGAGCAGAGCTGTACGACTGCCTGGTTACAAAAACAACACAGGTCTTGACATGCACCCCATTCCAGAGCAGGAACGCAAAAAAATCTAGGGGAAACATACACAACACACCTTCAAATGAATTGTGATGAAATTGATACGGCTCAATTATTCATCGTCATGGCATATTGTTCGAGCTACACAATAAACACGGGTAGTTTAATTAACTAGGCTATATTCTGCAAATAGAGTCTAATATGTTACTATGCCTGCACAAGAAACAACATGTCTTAAATGACTATTTAGGCTACAGATTACAAATATGTTTTATTGCAAAAATGGTTGCTAAAGTGATTGTAATAAAGTGGAGTGCCTATCCCTTTATACCCGATGTGTTACACCTAAGACAGATCCTACAGATCAAATCTCCTCTGACAGGATTTACAGGCCCTCTTTCCAACAATGGATGATGAATATGTAACAAAGCGATTCTGGTAAAGGAGAAACAGACACACCCACTAACCGAAAGCCTGTCCCACTGTAGTATTTCAGTGTGATGTCCTGCAACGTATTGACATTTTTATCATGCAGACTAAATCAAATGTCATACGCAATAGCAACAATCCCTCAGGGTGTCCTGTGGTCACTAAATCTTACAACTAGATATATTCTAACAGTATGTCTTAAACGCTCAGGTGTCTGCAGGCAACAGGCTTTTTAAATCTACACACCAGTAGTTCATTTCCTGCAAAGTCGAGCCAATCATTTCTCGGGGCTATCATTGCCAAACATTGATTGCTCAAGTCAGAATAGATGACACACTGGGCTCTTCAGTCCGCCCACAGATCTGTGAGGGAGAAACAGAGCCAGCCTTGACTGCACGACATCCCTGAATTGGATTTCCGATTAGAAGGGTTTAATGTAATTACCTTGAGTACATTGTGCAGTCTGCACTAAGTAACACAGCGATGCATCACCTCAAGCTTTGCCATTACACTTGTCTCGTGAAAGAAGGTGCCTGGCACCGGGCTCCCAGAGGAGCAATATTATAGTATGATTGACAGATGTATACCTGCATGTGCTCAGCATTTAAATAAGGGTTCAGAGAAGCCGGGTTTGACATGCAGCACTAAGCCTGGCCATAAGTCAATGTCGAGCTATATTTCATTTGTATCTATAGGCAGATATATATTAGCCGCTTGCTTTATGAAGTAAGGTTTTTGCACACAACCGTTTCAACTATGGATGCATTATGGAACTATGCAGAAAATATGTTTCAGCCCAGGGAAAAACCAACCATGCTGTTATATATATATAATATATAATTCTGCAGAATAAAATGAAACTCAGACCTTATCAGATCCTTTTCATTCCATCCTATTATTTAATATCACCCAGCAGCTCTCATCTGCACACATTTAAAAAGGATGGTGCATTTAAAAGGCCAGAACAAGCTTCCTCCCAATAACACTGCGAGGCATTTTATGCAATATTTCATTGTAAAAACAAACCGGGACTCATATCCATTACCAAAACCTCACAAATGTCTTCCATTTTGTTGAAAGTTGTCCTGTTTTCTAGAAGGCACCACCAAACAGGTAAAGCATTTGCATTGAAGCACATACTGACAGACTGTGCACAGGTGACAGGCACTGTATATTGGCAATAGTTTGTATCCTAATCTCCTATATCAGAAATCCCTTTATTAAATAAAGGAGTGAGCAGGACAACAACCATAGTGAAAATCACAAGCCCTTACAGAGCAGCTAAATATCCCTGACTTTGCATGCCTGGTAGGTCTTACCTATAGTGAAAAACCACATCAAAGGTCTACCTCACTAGGGCTTCCCCCCTGTGACCACTGATGGCTAAAAATGAAATCTACCAAGGTCAAAACTATACAGCTGTAGAAAGGAAATTGTTTTCAGTCTAGAACAATGCAAATATGAAAACAATGCTGCTTAAGATAATGAAAATGTGGTTGTGACAAGTCTCTCTACTCCATTTTCACCAGTGCTCAGGTCTAGACTGTATGTAAGCAATTAATAATGCATGTGTGTTAGTTTTTAAGTAGACCAGGGGGCTGTTTTGTTGCAGATGTCTGTATTTTAGTTGCGTCATTACCTACGAGGTATTTTTTGCACAATACTGTATAGTACAGCTGGCTGGGAGCTAACAAAGAAGCATGTCGCTGCTCCTGCGCTGGATTGGTTTAGGTTGTGTTTGTTTGGCAATTCAAAACCAGCATTACGCTGCGTAAATACCCAAGAATAAATCACATACTTCAATATAGGCTATAATAGTAACTGATCAGGCATTATTTGACAGGGTCGACACTACTGGCTGTCTCCCATTCGGTTATATCCGACTGTGTTTCCCGGTTCCAGAGCCTACCTGAGCAGACTGGAGAGGGTATGAGAGGAGGCTCCGTGTCCGCTGCTGGTGCCGCTTCCCCCGGTCCCAGACGAACCGCTGCTAGTGCCAGCGGACTGTCGTTTCCCGGATAAAAGCTTCTCCACGGCGGCCAGGTTTCCCGTGCGCGCCGCTTCCAGAAGTTCCTGCTCCTTCCCCATCGCGGATCCCAGAATAAATCAGAGGAGGCGCGGGGAAGAGAAGAGAAAGGGGGGCTTGGTTGCCGGAGTAAAATTCTTCTGCGATCCCAGTCTTCTCCCGATCTCAAGTTATTCCTCAGTGCTACTCGTGTGGCGAGGAAACAAAAGCTCCCTCCGCCGCTGGATCCGTCCGTCCCGATCCACGGTGCCGCTGCTGCTCAAGGGGGGAAAGTTTCGTTCAGCAGCACAGTACCACCATCAAGCAAACTTCCTTTGACCAGTCCCCTGAGCCTCGTCCGTCACTTCCTTGAAACTGCCCTTTCTTTCTGCATCTCCAATCCGAAATGCTTCACACACACACACACACACACACACACGTACACATTCACACACACAGGCATGCGACTCCTAGCACCCCCCGCCCTAGCTAATTGATAGTGAAGGTGGATGGGCTAAAGCAAGATGGCGCCCCTAGTGCTCATGGTGCTCATACACAAGGATAATATCCATCCAGTGTTTGAGATATCTGTTCTACTGTCGCATCTAGAGTGTAGAGCACATTTCCAAACCAATCCTTTTCATTATTTACAAATAGTCACTCTCATGTAGCCTATTGTAAATTGTCTAGATCAATTATAAATTGTATTCCTCTTAAATGATATAGTATCCGAGATGTAACTACTGTGAACCTGATGAGAATCTCAACAATAGGTAGAAGTTTTGCTTGAAATAAAACCCGTGTAAAATTCCCTCATGGTGGGAACCATAGTATGTTTAAGGTGTAAACAGGGACATAACAGGTGACAGCAAACACACATACAACATTGTTGTATAAGATTTAACTGGCTGTTGTAAAATTGTTTGTTAAATCATTTAACTCAATAAAAAATCTTAACAGCTACGGCAATAAAATACATAACAAACATCGCATGTTTGACATTTTTTAGTGTTTTTATGTACCGCTGCCGGTGTCTTTAAAGTTCATTCAAAACCGGAAACGGAAACCCGGTGCAATGCTATCAACACAACTATATTTGCTACAGCCGAGAAAACTAGCATCCTGATGCCATCATTGCTCTAAGACTAAGGATTTGCTTAAATGTAATTAATTGTGACTACAGTAATGAATTTGCTGTGTGTTAGCTGCTAAGCTAACGTTAGCTTAACTTTGCTCCACCGTTAGCTTGGCTGTTTGTGCTGTTTTGTTGACGCCTAGCTGCACAGAGGGTAGGTGCATGTTGTATTCGTGTTTTCATCCTTATTTTACACACATGTATTAGTTAAACCATACCTGTATACTCTTTTTTTAGGCTTCTCAGTTGAGTTATCGTGAAAACTGTGTTTAATCAAGCGGCAGCACTTGCTCAATACTTCAGATGAGTCGCTATAGAAACCAAAACGATTGCTATCTAGCTTTAGCCAAACTGGCAACCAACTAATAAACAGAGGTACAAAGAGTATATAAGTACTATTAAGACTGTGTGAATGCTCCTCTATAAGTAAAATAACTGCCTTTTTAAATCACAATTTTAAACTAGTATACAGTATAATCAGCTAAATGACATACATTACTTAAGTGACAGTGCAGTGAAATGGTCCCTGTCATTGCTTTACAATTTACACTGTATATGATGTTTTTAGATGAATGATACTAGTACATTAATGTGAAATGTTTAATTATACTGCTGTAGATGTTCAAGGTTTTGCTCATTTTAACTAGTTAATATACCGTTGAGTAGTTACATATACAGTATGCATCACATTATATAAGAACATTGTATGTTTGTATAGTCGCTGTAAACAATACATACTTATATTCCACCAAATAAACTCCCTTATTTACTTTACAGAATCTGAAGTTGTCAACCAGTGTAAGGTGTGATCATGGCCGACCCTGCGCGGATCAAACCTGAGGCTTTATCTGAGAGAATAACTTCTTGTAAGGAGGAGCATGATAAATCAGATGAAACTGAGGATGGACCTTCCACATCGAAAACTGCAGATGAAAACAAAGACTCATCTTCGCAAGATCAGTCCAACCAGGATGTTAAATCCGTAAGTGATACAAGTCAATGTTCACTTTCACAAAGTAGCGTGTCATTTTTTTAAGTGGCTCTAACCATACTGTCTTTCACTGTGTAGGAAATGGCAGCTGGGGAAGATGAGGAAGAAGGAACCTCTGGCGAATCTTCCTCCAAAAGACTGAAGGTGGAACCAGAGAAGAAAAAAAAGTGCCAAAAGGTTGATGAGGATGAAATACAAAAGATGCAGTAAGGCTGGGATTTCTAACGAATCATTCTGATAAAAATAAATAACACATTGTCACATACCAGTTCACCCCAACACATTCCCCCTGTTCTTCTTGTCTTACAGAGTTTTAGTGTCATCCTTTTCTGAAGAGCAGCTGAATCGCTATGAGATGTACAGACGCTCTGCCTTCCCTAAGGCGGCTATTAAGAGGGTATTTATAAACACTGACCTTTTTTTTTTTTTAAATCCCTGAATTTAGTTCATAAATGGCTTAATGTTTTATTTTAATTTTCTAGCTGATCCAGTCCATAACAGGATCATCAGTGTCCCAGAATGTGGTGATTGCCATGTCTGGTATTTCCAAGGTTTTTGCTGGAGAAATTGTTGAAGAAGGTCAGTGATGGACTTCAAAAAGTACATAGCAAATTGGCTGAAAGACGTCAATAAATGTCTCTTATTTGTATTTCTTTGCAGTTTAAATTGGACTATTATGTAGTTAAACAGTTTATCTTTTGTCCTCACAGCATTGGACGTTTGTGAGAAGTGGGGAGAAACACCACCGCTTCAGCCCAAACACATGAGAGAAGCCGTGAGGAGGCTAAAGACTCGAGATCAGATTCCCAACACCAAGTTCAAAAAAATTACCTTCAACTGAAGCGTCTTTGCTTTCAATATATGCGTGCGAGTTAAAGAAGTTGTGCCATAGCTTCTGAAAGACTTGTCATAAAGCTGTAGGCATACTGCAGCCAAATAGACACTGAGCATTTCTAGCTATCCAGAGTTAAAACCAGTGACAGACAATAGTGTTAAAGAATGGTCAATACAAATTACTTGTCTATCCACCTCTGCTTGACACATCACACAAAACAGTGCAACGAGTGTGACATTATATTCATGTTTATGGTTGTTAATACAGTGTGTTTTATACAGTTTGGGGTTTTTTGCCTCGTTATTTTAATAACTAGGGATCTTTGGAGAAAGTTGTGTTGCCAACAGTGAATTTCCTTAGTTTCACAAATAAATGTTTAGTTGGAACTTCAAAAATGTGTATTTTTCTTTGTATATCTATAGAAGGACACATTTGGTATTTATTTAGCTTTTTTTAATTGACATTTGAAAATAAAGGTTTTGTTAGTAGTTGACTGCCATCATTCAGTGAATCTCAGAATGTATTTTGTTGGTCTCACAATACTGAAAAAACAATGCTTCCAGTTTTATTTGGAAATATCTAAACTTATTTTCAAGTTAGTCGAAACTATAGAGATAGTGAGATTTTGAACGTACAAGTTGGTACATATTTTATGACGACGCAAAAGTGAAAACAGATATTCTTTACATGGAAACATGCATGTTCTATTAAAACTTAAAAGGCACAATTGAAAAGTGTTCAGAAATTAATCATTTATTCTTACACTTTCAAAATATTTTCCACATACTAGCTTTGGTTCACAGAACCAATCTTATATTAGTTTCAATTAAGTGATAAAGAAAATACAAAATTAATGTAACTACACAACCGACAGAAATACTGATATACATCAAAACAAGTGCAATTTCCAGTGAATTTATCACACAAGTGCAAGTAACTCACAATGCATAAACTATGCAACATCACCCCAGTACATGCATTTTCCCTCACTGGCAACATTTTGCTTGGTTGAAGTGACTGCTTCACTTTTTGTCCTTCTCCTTTTTGCATGGTTATGAGCACAGGTCATGAGCAGATGGAATCAGAGCACCAGTGGAGAAGAGATGCTTCTCAACGGAGAGCCTGACAGAGGAGACTGGATTAACCTTAAAGCTACATGTTACATCCAGGCAGGGTTCAACTTCATACCACTGTATCTTTGTCCTCTAGGCCATGCAAAAACAAAAACATCAAAAGTTGAGAAGATCACAACTAAAGTTATTCTGAGGATAAACAGCAGTATCTCTGCTTTCTTACACTGATAGTTAAAATGGGATGAGTGCTCATGCAGTTTAAACCTGGCAGACAGTAAGTACATCATTTATTTTTAAGTGAAGAATGCCACATAAGACGTGTAGTTTTTTTTTTTTTTTGGTTGAACCAAAGCTGACTTCCTATTGCTTAAATATTTTACATTCCTCTGTAAAAATGCACATCAAGCATTCATAGCTTGCAAGGCAACTCTGATGTTTAAGGAAGGAAAGTGTTTTTCATGGGGAATGCTCAGGCCAGTTCAGCCACCAGAGGTCTCCCGAGCACACAGTGGGAAATGATGAAAGATGACTAACAGCTATGCAACCATAAAAAAAGATAATTATAACTCCACAGGCAAAATGCTAAACCACTGATGTAACAATAGAACACTTGAACAGAAACTGTAGCCGACAGGTTTCTTTCATGAAAGCATTCGTACACTGAATATCGTACTGTGGAGTCTTTTTGATGAACAAATTCATCAAGGTTTGAATCCATGCATATAACAGATTTTATGCATAGAAAATAAGTTTGAACATTTGATGACTGGCCTGATACAATCCTGCAGAATATGTCCTGTAATGAATTTGGTCATTCACATAACGTATACATTATTAGTACCAACGTTTTCTATTCAAACTTAATTTTCTTAGATTGATATGGCTTCAATACACTGTAAAGTAACTCTGGTGTAACAAAAAAGCACTTGTTGAGAAATCTAAATAAATATACACATATTAGTTCATGACCACTATACTATGACAAATGTGCACAGAGGTGAAAACACTAGCAGTTGTTTCCTAGCAAGCTACAAAATAAGTAGATCAGTATTATAACTCTGGTAGATGTAGTTATAATACATAACCTAGTTAAACCAGAGTGTTGGAGTAAAAAGACTAACCCTGTTACAGTACTGGAGCTACTGTGCGCCCTGAGAGCTCAGAGGCTTCACAATACAAAAGAAACACAACTCAAAGAAAAATAACACTGGGGCATGGTTCAACCTGCTTATTAAGGACAGTGAAACTTCATAAAAGCCTGTTACCATGCCACCTTGGTGGTTATAAAAAGCAACCGAGGTGGAAAGAGATGCATTTCTGTGTCAGTGAAAGCAGTGTTGTTCTGCTTCCTTAAAAAAGAAAAAGTGCATTGTTTTCCCTACCTATCTATCACAACACATGTACAACAGTTGATACTATCGTCATAATACTTTTAAATGAAAAGGAACTCACAT